TATGAATTAAATATAATTAAATTATATGAAATTATATTTGAATAAATAATTTTATAATTATATTAAATATTAGATATTTTTTTATAAAAATAATATCTAAAAAACATCAAAATGAAAATTTTGAGTTTATATATCAAGTTTATGTATCAAATTATTATAAATTTATTGTATCTTTCTATAATTTTAAAAAAATAATATTATAAAAACTTATAAAATACACATATATTTAAAAATATTATGAAGCTACGCAAAAAAACCCACCAACAACAATTCCAAACTCACCCTAATTGCCAAACACCCTAAAGAAACCGAAAGACAGTTTGAAAACCAATCGAGAAGGTCGTCGAAACCCTAATTTATGAACCGAGAATCAAGCAATCTACCACTTCTGACGGCATCATAGAGATCAAAGATCATGGCTTGGAAGAGAGGGGCTGGGGGAAGGAGGCTAATATCACACCGCCGGCCGGGGGAGGTGAGGGGAAGAGAGAGGTTTCTGTGTCTCGACCGTTGGGTTCAGATTTAAGAGATGGTTAAATACCCGATTTGATCCCTAAACTTTCATTTCTAAACTTAGTTCGTCCTTTATGAAGTTAAAGGACCCTAATCGTCCTTAAAGTTTATTTTTCCATAACTAAATTGGTCCTTCCGTAACGGAAGCGCCCACTTGGCATGTTTAGTCTCTACAATTTAATGCTTTTAATTTTCAAATGCTTACGTGCAAAAAAACACAATAATTAATTGATGATATGGTAAAAATTATTAAATATAATATTGATAAAAAATAGAACAGAAAAAAAAATTTCTAATTGATTCATTCTTAATAAATTTAAAAGATTTAAATTAATTGATTGTTGTATTTAATACAGATAATTAAGAGATTAATTAACTCATAATTAATTCGATTATGATAACCTCGTAAAATATATTAAATTAATTGATTCATTCAATAATTTGGGAAAAAATTAAATTCTTTTAATTGGGTTTCATCCTCCTCTTCTGCGATGAAAAACTCAGATCAAAATTTGGGATTCTTAATAAGTCTAGCTAGCAAAAATCTCATCACCAGAAAACAATAAGAACAACCAACAAAATCAAAATCAAGAATCCCTAACGTTTCCTTATACAAATGGGAAAAGCTTGACTTGTCTGCTGCGATTTCCAAAGAAGAAAAGGAAGGATTAGGTTGATCATCATTCACTGTGTTTGAAAACCCATGTCTTCGAGTCTTTATCGTGGCGACAACGGTGGCGAGACAACCAAAGATCGACAGTAAACGAGCTCCTTGTTTTGGAGACCTTGTCAGATAGGTTGGAGGTGTATTTCACGAGGGCCACCGCCAGATCCTCCTCCAAATCAAAGACGCTCACCATCTTCCCTTCACTTTTCTCTATCACCATTCTTGTGTCTGCGACCGTCGCCTTCATTCTGCACCCAAACCCCTTGATTTCGTGTCGACAACAGAAGTCCCTTCGAAACCGCTGTGCTTGCAAGGGTTTTCAACGCTGTCGGCCTTGAGACCAACGAAGCGTAGTACGAAATGAGATGGAATCTAGAAGAAGAAAGCAGGGTGCGGAGCGAGGTGGGTAAATGGAGAGAGGAAAATGGATTTGGAGTATTGAAAATGGAAATGGATTCTTG